GCACGACACCAGACGCGGACAAGAAAGACGACGATCAATGGAAAGGCAGTGCCGAGAGATCGCCGCTGTGCGGATCCGGGCCCAGGCGAGATCGTCCTCGACCACCACTTGTCGCCTTGCTCTATCGCCCAAATCGCGCATTCCTCCAATCCACCAAGATCCAGCGCACAGCTAGGTGCGGTTCGACATTCCTCTGCCTTCCTGTGTTAGACATGCTTGGATCATCATCGGTCTCGGTGAGCTTGAGGCATCCAAGATGCCCAGACCTCCTTGTGAGTTTGACGACCAAGGCGTTGCGGAGGAGTAAGGCGCAAGGGGCAGGCGGTGCAGACCGTGGCTGATGGCGTCGAAAGCTGGGCCGAGCTCGAGCTCAGTCCCAAGCGAAACAGTTGTTCAGCGCCGTGATCTCAACCAGTGATGGAGATGCTAGTGCTCGAGAACGCGAGCAGTCTCGGAGTCAGGAAGTGTCCTCCGAGTTTGCCGCCCTGATCGGGCCCTCCGACGCATTGTGCTCTGGGGTCCCGCGACATCTCCGGGGCACCGGCGCCGCCCTCAACGCGTTTCTTGTCGTCCTCACCTTCCTCGCCACTAAGCATGAGATCGAAACTGTTGTCATCAGTAAGCTACCCGGCTCTGCAAGTTGTAAAGCTGACAGACAGACACTTGTTATCGATCAGATTAGAGCAACGTCCACACAACATGCACCGAAATCTCCTCTCCATCACTCTCGGCTATCCGTCCAATGTCGGAATTCGGGTTCGGTTCTTCCGGGCGGGGGTGGTGATAACCGCCATGTGGGCTGGTGACTCTTTCCCGAACCGCGTCGGGCATCGTTAACAGCACCGTTTCTTTAGGAACTATCCGCTCATCCTCCGCATCCGCCCTCCATGACCGACTCGACCCCTCACAAGACCTCCGACATGGCTAGCGTCGCTCGCAACCTCGCCAAGTGGGCGTACTCGTACAAGCCAAACGCGGACGACCTCGCGCTCGCCGACCGCGCGCTCAAGGACACTGTCGCCGTCGCGCTAGCCGCGCGCCAGCACCCGCTGAAGCAGATCGTGTCTGGCCTCTCGCCCGCGGCGCGCTGGGCCGCCATGTCCCACGTCCTCGACTTTGACGACCTGCACATCGAGACGACGACGCACATCTCGGTCGTCACTGTCCCCGCCACGCTTGCCGCTGAGGGAGACGCCCGCGCTTACCTTGCCGGTGCTGGAGTGTTTGCGCGCCTTGCCGAGGGCTTTGGCTGGAACCACTACGCCAACGGATGGCACATCACTTGCACTGCAGGTGCCCCCGCTGCCGCCGTCGCTGCCGGTATCGCGAAGGGTCTCAGCGAGGAGCAGCTCGCTACTGCCATCGCTCTCGCCGTCCCCGCTGCCGGAGGTGTCCAGGAGGCGTTCGGCACGCACGGCAAGTCGCTCCAGGTCGGCTTCGCCGCCGACGCCGGTGTGCGTGCCGCTGACCTCGCCTCGCGCGGAGCCACTGCCGCCACCGCCGCCGTCGAGAGCTGGATGGACAAGCTCGGCGGCAAGCCCGGCAACGTTGGCGCTCAGCAGACTCCCGCTGTCCCCGGCGGCCTCGCGATCAAGATGTTCCCATGCTGCTACGCCATGCAGCGCCCCATCGCCGCCATCCGTGACCTGAAGCCGATCGACTACAAGAAGCTCACGAAGATTGTTGCCCGCACGCCCGCCGGCGTCATCCACCCGCTCATTTACGACTTCCCCGAGACCGGTCTCGCGGGCAAGTTCTCGCTGCAGTACTCGATCGCGACGGCGCTGCTGGACGACTACCCCGGCTTCGAGTCGTTCACGGACAAGATGGTGCAGCGCCCCGAGGCGCAGGAGCTCATGCGCAAGGTCGAGGTGCAGAAGGAGGACACGCCGATCGAGAACCTTCTCGACGACAAGATCAACCTCGAGCTCCACTACGAGGACGGCACTGTCACCAAGACGTCGCTCGAACTCCCGCCCGGCGCGCCCCGCCGCCCGCCTACCGAGGAGCAGCTGGAGGAGAAGCTCAAGTCGTGCGGCGACGACGTCCCCGGCCTTCTTAAGGGTATCTCGTGGGCCGACGGCACGCGCATCATGAAGGACGCCTTCTAGACAGTTATTAGACCATGCATAGTATATTAGGGCACGGGAGTTGCACAGGCTTGAAAGGTGCGGAGATAAACACGTGTTGGCGCTGAGGTTTGGGGGCCTGAGCGCAGGATATCGTGAACTCTGTGCCCAGGCCACAGCACTACTATGAAAGACCGCTTAGCCATGTGCACCTTGGCCGCATGCGCTAAGGATACGACGATCCGTGTCATCGAGCTCTGGCGAAGGGCAGTGTCCAATGACGGTGTGACGGAACAACAAACAGAGAATACCGACCCGGCCTCCACCGCTCTCTCGATCATTCCGGCGATCCGGCTCCGACTTTTCCTACGTCACGTCCAGTCAACCGCTGCTGTAATCTTATCGTCAAACTTCATATCTCATCACATCCCTTGCCGCCACCCAGCCCCTCAATCTATCCCACTAGCAAGATGGCCGCCCCCTACCAGCTCGACAAGAAGGACAAGGTCCTCAACATCCTGACTCTCCCCGAGGAAGTCTTCGTGTTCCGCTACGCTCCCACCACGCCCATCCCCGCGGGACTGTGGGAGGGCGACGAGTTCTGCAGCGTGACCAAGACGAAGAACGAGCTCTCGATTGTCGCGCCCCAGAAGCGCGTCGTCGACTCGGGCATGCCGAAGGCGTCGGCGGAGCACTGTGGAGGGCCTTGGAACGTGCTGAGGGTCAGGGGACCGCTGGAGCATCGTGAGTACCTGGCTGGCTCAATGGCTCAATGGAGTGTAAAGTCTCGGGATACCGTTAGATTTGGACTCCGGAGAAAGAGAAGGGGCTGGCTCGAGCTCACTGATTTGCGGATGTGTAGCTGACACCAGACATGGTTGGCGTCATGGCTGAGCTTGCACGGGTGCTCAAGGAGGCGTCCATCTCCATTTTCACAATTTCTACTTGGTGAGTCCTTCTAAGCAGAAGCTAGCAAGGTCTCGGCCAAAGCTGACGATCAGGGACACTGACTACCTCCTCGTCACGAAGAACACGTACGAGGCCGCCAAGAAGGCGCTCGAGGCTGACGGGTGGACGTTCGCGTAAACTGTCACGGACACCGTCGAACAGGGATCATAGACAGGGGTGCTATGAAGACTTTCAGGAGAACTGAGGGCACACCGCGTACAGTGGTCGGTGGTAAGAACTCCCATCACTGACTGCGGAACTGATCCTACCTGCCGTGTACACTGACATGCAGACGGATGGCAGCCTGATCGGCGTGGGCTCGAGATCGCATCACCGCAGGCAGGAACGCACGACGTACTACGCTACCACCGCAACACTGATGACAACAGCGGACTAGCAGGATCAAGATCAGAGCCAGGATCATGATCTCGGTCACAACCGGCAGTCAAGATCACATTGATCACCAGCAAAACAACAATCACCGACACGAGCAGCAACAAGCCTCCGAAACTGCGGGGTCCACCAGACAACCTTGATGCGCTGCCAGGGCGTAAGGGCGTCCAGCGGCTTGATGCTCAGTCTGGTCGACGGGTGGCGCTATCGGATAAGATTAGCTCAGGCTGGTCGCAAATAGCTCCGCTTGTCACGGTTGACTGGACGGGGCAACCAGTGCCAAGAACAATAGGCTGGAAACGATGGCAAGTGGTGACTAACCTGCGCACACAGCTGAATTCTCGTACTGCGCCGTTACTAACCACTCTTCGCTATCGCCGCTGGTTACCTGACTTGAGACTGCGCTGAGATCGAAACCAACCGCGCCAGGCCACGTCCAAGAGCATTCAGCGTGACTAACCTCTCTCTGCCGAACGCCGATTAGACACGCGCTAGCTCGGGTTGCCGCCGCCACCGACAGGGCGACACGAGGCAACCTGGACCAGTGCAAGCACAACCTCGCATCTATTGTTTGTCTTCCTTCCACTACACTCCAGCAAACTCTCATTTTCCTGCCACCCCGGATCTGACCAAGCTTCCATTCACAAAGCTCACTGCGCAGTGCACAGCGTCCACGACCAGCTCGGCATATTGTCGATCATCGCCTTCAGTATCTCGGCCTGTGTGGCACTCCCCTTTCCATCTCCTGGCAACAATGATCAGCTGCGCTGCGCACGCACCGACATGTACCATGAAGTGGGCTCTCGACGAGGTGCATGGGGGTATATAACTCGTTCAAACGGCCCACCCAAGCCACCAGCATCTTGCGCCCCGCCCCGGCCTCGACCACACGCCCCGGTCCACAATCCAGCCTCCTCCACCCGAACGCAGCTGACGAAGACGACGTCACTCGCAACCCCAGATTTCCGCCCAACACACCCGTATCCACACAGCGTCCGCACCGCGTTCCTCCCTGCGCACCACACGGCTTGATCTCGACTAGCTCCTCCCGGTAGCCCACCCACCTTCAGGACACGACCTAGTCCACCTGGAGCGTTATCTTCTCACCTTCACACCTCCACACATCAACCCTTCACACTAGCTCGTACGAGCGACACTGCGCAACAGCAAGCATCAACACACGCGTGCCGTCTTCGAGGATACATAACCTCGAAGCTCAACTCTTCAATCTCCTCTTCTTCCCCATCTCGCACCGGCGTGTTTCACCGCACCACCGACCCCGGTCTTAGCCGTTCTCACTCCCACTTCCGACTCTCACGCCACCACGTCCTCCACCACCACCATCAACTTTTGCCGCCACACCACCATGACACGCCCGCAAAAGATCCGCGACGTGCAGGCTGTCCTGCGCAAGAACTCGTGGGTGCTCGTCCGCCAAGTCGGCTCCCACCAAACCTGGGTGCACTGCACCTGCAATTCCGCAGACGGAGAGCATCTCCAGCTCGAGCTCGAGTTCGACACGGACGACGGCCTGCAGAACGCTTCGTTCTCGCGTCGCGGCTCGGCCTGTTCCTCCCCCACTCGCTCCTTCCCCTCGCCGACACGCGCCAACTCTGTTCGCATCGGACGCACACCTTACCCCACGATTGCGGAGTACTCTGACGTCTCGAGCGCCGCGTCGTCGTCATGCTCGAGCACCTCGGACTCGGAGTCAGACGAAGAACCCGCAGACACCGAGGAGTGGTTCGGATCCCGCCGCGCGCTCGAACGCCGCCAAGCCTCCGCCGCCGCAGCAGCTCCGATACCCAAATCGGCCTACGCGAGCGTCCCCCACACAGCATCGAGAAAGGAACGCCGCCGTCCGCAGTTGAAGCTGGACACGTTCGTAGAAGCGGCCTCGCCTGAGAACTTGGCGACGCCGCGCGCCTACTCTCCCTCCAAGGCCTCGCCGACGAAAGCCTCGCCGACAACAAAGGCCTCTCCGCTGAAATCACCAACAAAGGGCAACAGCCACACGCGCACCCCCTCGCTGCGCACGAAAGGCGGCTTCCCCTCGTCGAGCGCGGCACTATCCCGCCCCGCCACCGTGTCGGGCCGCTCGCCCTCGCGTTCCCCCGCCCGCTCTCCCGAGCGCGAGCGCGAGCACGAAATTGCGCTCGAATTACCCCAACTCGCGTCGTGTTCCTGCTTCCTGCGCGCGTTCGAGGAAGCAGCAGCCTCCTCGTCTTCGCCCACCAAAGGCCCCGGCAAGGGCAAGGGAAAGGGGTTAGGAACCCTGCGCTCGCGGACTGCGAAGGAGCTCACGCGCCATGCGGACCGGATCACCATCGCGAGCAAGCGTGGCGGAGAGGTCGATCCCAAGTGCATCATGCAGCTGAAGCGGGTGCTGCAGTATGTGCCGGATGACTGGTGAGGCACCGGAACGAAGCGGAGGTCCGGAGGTGTGGCGGTGGCCCAGGAAGGAGGGAGGGAGCGGAGGGCCAAGCCGTAGCGGAGATCCAGCGGAGATTCAGCGGAGATCCAGCGAGGCTCCAGAGGACGTCATTAGAAGGCGGGGTTGTTTGGGAGAAGGAGTAGAGAAGGAGCAGAGAGAGAGAGGAGTAGAGAAGCAAAGAAAAGAGGGCATGTCGAGAGCGCCTGGCGCGCTCCGCCCCGCACAGTGGCATCTCGTTCGTATCTGAAGTTTGTCTGAAGTAGTGTCTCCATGTCCGAAGTAACTATGTCGTGTTGTATGTATCCCTGCCTGGTATTCCATGGTTGCATCGTTGTCTGCGAAGAAAGAGCTGATATGGATATATATGGAAAATGATGGTGAACGCTCGTGGGTGTCGAATTTCTATGTTGTGTGATGTGGTATGAACTTTGTCTCTACGTCTACTTCGTCTACGTCGTCGACTGACCTGCTTCTTCTTCTGATCTCGATCTCCCGTCATTGTCTGTTTACAGTGCCACCAGCTCGCCCTGACACGCCGAGCAGCAGTACACAATCTCGTCCCCGAACTGCTCCATCCTCCTCGCCGTCTCTCTCCGTCCCTCCTCCCCGGGCGTCTGGCTGCGTTCGGGCACATCTCCGTCTCCGTCCTCCTGTAACGATTTCAGGGTCGCCGAGTGTCGTCGTCTCGTGTCCACGCCCATGCGCGCCTTGAGCGCATTCAAGCTCACGGCACGCTTATGCCGCACGCTGGCGGGGAGGTCGGCGTCGACCGGTCGCCGGCGCAGGGGACTGCTTGGGCGCGAAGACGTGGGCGTGAATGACCGCGTGGACGCCGTCTCGGAAGGTCCAGGGGCGGAGGCGAAGAACAAGCCCCCTTCGCCTGGCGATCGCACGTCGGCGAGTTGGCGGGAGAGCTCGTGCGCCTTTGTCGTCGCGGCGTGCGATTCCTCCTGCAGTTGCCGGATCTTCGCGTTCAGTTCCGACACCTCGAGCGCGTGCGCTGCTTCCAGCGCCTCGAGCGTTTCCGGCTTTGCGGCGGAAATGCGCCGCCCGGCCATGGCTGGTCGCGCGGAGGCGCGGAGGCGCTCGAGGTCGCCGCGCAGGGAGCGGATCGTCGCCTCGTGCTGCGCCGTCATGGCGCGCTCGGCGTCGAGGTCCGTCTGGAGGGATGCCTGGCCCATGGCCTGCTCTGAGCTCGACGCGTGCCACGCCTCGAGCTCGCGCCGGAGAGCGCCTTCTTGCTCCGCATAAGTCTGGCGGAGCTTGACGAGGTCGCCCTTCAGCTTATCGACGACAGCCTTGTGGCCGCTCGACGTGCTCTGCGCCGCCTCCAGGTCGGACTGGAGCTGCGCCGCGTCGGCCTCGAGCTGCTCGTTGGTCGCCTGAGCCGACTCGAGCTCGGCGCGGAGGTTGAGGGCAGAGGTCTCGTGCTTCTTGGACTCGGCGCGAGACGCCTCGAGATCGGAGCGCAGCTTCTCGCCGAGCTCGTGCCGCTCAGCACTCTCCTTCTTCGCCGCCTCGAGGTCGGACGCGAGCTTGGCGGCGTTCGCTTCGTGCTCGTTTGACGAGTTCTGCGTCGCCTCGAGCTGTTTCTGCAGCTTGGTAGCGGCCGCCTTGTGGCTGCTGTGTGCGAGGTCGAGCTCGGAGCGGAGATTCTTGGACGTCTCCTCGTGTCGGTCCGCCACGCTCCGGAGGCCCTCCATCGCCGACGTGTGCTCAGTGCGCGTCTGCTCGAGCTCGGCAGTGAGCTTCTCCTCGTTGGCCCTCCGGCTGGCCGCCTCAGCGCGGCTGGCATCCAACTCCTCGGCAAGTTGCTCGCCGGCGGCCTTGCGCTCCGCCGCCTCGGCCTGCGCCGAGTCGAGGTCCTTCTTGAGAGCCTCGACGGCCTCGGTCTGCTTCGCGGACAGCGACTGCAGCGACTCGATCTCGCTCTGCAGCTTGGACCGCACCGTGTCATACTCCTTGCGCACCTTCTCGAGCGTGTCGGAGAGCGCGGAAACCTCGGCCTCGTGCGTCTGGCGTGCGTCGTTCAGCTCGCCGTTCAGCGCCAGCACGACCGCATCGTGCTTCTCCTTCGCGTTCTGCGCTGCCGTCGTCATGGCCGCAACCTCGTTGCTGTGCGCCGTCTTGGCCTTGTGCAGCTCGCCACGGGCCGTCTGGGCGGCGGCTTCGTGAGCTTCCTTGGCCTGCGCGAGCTTGGCATTGAGCTTGGCGACAGCCTCCTCGCGCTGCTTGTGGGCCGCATCGACATCGGCGTTCAGCTTGGCGACGTCCGCAGCGCGAGCCTGCTTTTCGTCTTCGAGCTCGCCGTTCAGCTTGGTCACGATGCTCTCGCGCTCCTTGCGCGTCTCGTCGAGCTGGCCGTTCAGTTGAGCCACGGTCTCGTCGCGCTCGCGCTTCGCCTCCTTCAGCTCCCCGAGCAGTTTGCTGCTGGCGTCGGCGGCCTGCTTGCGCTCGTTGTCCATCTGCGCCTCGAGCTTGGCGACAGCGTCCTCGTGCGCCTTCTTCGCGGCCGTGAGGTCGGCACCGAGCTTCTTGGCGGTGGCCGTGTGCGTGTCGCGCTCCTTGGCGAGTTCGGCGCGGAGGTTGTTAGCAGCCGATTCGTGCTCGGACGCAGTTTTCTGCGTCTTGGCAAGGTCGGCCTGCAGGTGCGCGATGCTGCCCTCCTGCTCCGCCTTGGTGGAGCGGAGCGAGGCAATTTCAGCAGTCTGCTCTTCTCCCTTAGTCTTCAGAGAGTCACGCTCGCCAGTGAGCGTGGTAATGCTCTCGTCGCGCTCAGCGATTGTCGCCTGAGAACCAGCGAGCTTCTTCTCGAGCGACTTGTTCGTGACCTGGTGCTGCGCAGCACGCTTACGCGCCGAGTCGAGGTCGGCCTTGAGCTTCTTACGCGCCGCCTCGTCCTCGGTCGCCTGGGCGGCGGCAGCCTCGAGCTCGCTCTTCAGCTGCGCCTGGGTTTCGGCAGCAGCATCCGCCGCTTCCTTTGCAGCAGTGCGCTCCCTCTGGAGCTCCTCCTGCAGGGACGCGGACTCGCCGCGAGATGTCTCGAGATCCTTGGTTGTCGCGGCGAGCTTCTGCTCAGTGTCGGCAGTCGCCTTCCTGGACGCATCGAGCTCGGCACGGACAGCCTTCAGATCGTTGACGTGGGTGGTAATCGTAGCCTCACGCTCCTTGATAGTGCCCTGGGACTTCTCAAGGTCGGAGCGGAGACCAGCGATGGCCTTCTCCTTCTCAGCGACGGTGGTGCGCTCGCCCTCGAGCTCCTTCGTGCGGTTGCCGAGCTCGGAGTGGGTCTTAGCGAGGTCGGCGGCCGTGGCGGCGATCGTGGCGTCGCGCTCCTTGACCGTCCTCCGGGACCCGTCGAGATCGGAGTTGAGGGCCTTGATGGTCTCCTCGTGGCCGGCGATGGACTCGCGGGCAGCCTCGAGATCCTCTCCGCGCGCCGCGATCGTGCCCTCGCGCTCGGTGATCGTGGCCCGGGCGACATCGAGCTCACCGCTGAGCTTCTTGCCCGCAGCTACCTGCTCGGCCGTCTGAGCCCTGGACGCCTCGAGGTCCTTCTTCAGGCCGGCGATGGTGCTCTCGTGACCCTGAATGGCCTTGGCCCTCGCGTCGAGGTCACCGTTGAGCTTGACGATAGTCGCAGTGTGCTCCTCGGCCTGCTTCTTAGAAGCGGCCAGGTCCTCCTCGAGCTCGGCGGTCCTGCCTTGGCTCTCCTTCAGCGATTGCTGGGTGGAATCGTACTGAGCCTGAAGGTTCTTGATCGCCTCCTCGTGCTCCGTTCCGCGCTTCTCGGCCTCGGAGAGCAATCGCTGCGTCTCACCTAGCTGCGTTTGGGTCTCCTCGAGCTGGGCGGAGAGCTTCTTGGACGTCTGCTCGTGTTCAGATCCACTCTTCTGAGCGGCAGTGAGCGCAGTCTTGATGTCCTGCAGCTCGGCAGAGAGCTTCTTGCCGCTCTCCTCGTGCTGTGTAATGCTCTTCTTGGCCGCGTCGAGGCTGCTCTCCGTCTCCGCGAGCTTGGAGGAGAGGTGCTTACCATACTCCTCAGCCTGCGACGCCTTCTTCTCCGAAGCCGTGAGGGCAGACTTGGTCTCGTCGTGCTGCGCCTGGAGCGCCTTGCCCGCCTCGGCCTGCTCGGCGCCCTTCTTCTCGGCCGCGGCGAGACTTGCCTTAGTCTCCTGCAGCTGCGCGTCGAGCTTCTTGCCCTTCTCCTCGGCGGTGGCGGTTGCCTTCTTGGCCGCGTCAAGAGCCTTTTGGCCCTGAGCGAGCTGCGCGGACAGCTTGCTCTCAAGGGAGTCACGCGCGACTTGCATCTCGCCAATCTCCTTCTTGGCCGAGGTGAGCTCCTTCTCGAGCTCACCGATCGAGGCGACGGCGCCGGCGGCCTGCTCCTTCGCATCGGAGAGCTGGGAGCGGAGAGCGGCCTCAGTGTCCGCGGCCTGCTTCTTTAGCGCGGAGAGCGTGCCCTCGTGGTCCTTGGCGTTCTGCTCGAGTTGGGACTGCGTCGCGCCGAGCTTGGAGCGGACCTCGGCGAGCGTCGCCTCGGACTGCTTCTTCTGCTCGGCCGCAGCCGCCTTTGCAGACTCAATCTCCTTCTGAGCTTCACCAAGCGCCGCATCGGCACGCTTCTTCTCCTCAACCGCGGCAGTGTCGGCAGCCTCGGCGTCCTTCTTGGCCGTGGCGAGAGCAGCAGCTGCGGCCTTCTTCTCCTCGGCGGCCTTGGACTTCAGATCGTCAAACTCCTTCTGGGCAGCGGCGAGGGCGGCATCAGTCCGCTTCTTCTCCTCCACCGCTGCAGTGTCTGCAGCCTCGGCGTCCTTCTTCGCCGTGGCGAGGGCGGCGGCGGCCGCCTTCTTCTCCTCTGCCGCCCTGGACTTGGCATCCTCGAGTTGCTTCTCGAGTTCGGCCAGTTTCTTCTCAGACTCGGCGAGGGCGCTGTCGGTGCGCTTCTTCTCCTCGACGGCCGCGGCGTCGGCGGCCGCAGCCTCCTTCTTGAGCGCGGCGATCTGGTCCGCCATCTGCTTGGCGGCCGCGTCGTGCTGCGCCTTGGCCTGGTCGTGCGCCTTCTTCGCCGCGTCCGTCTCGCCGGCAGACTTCTGGACAGCAGCGGCATGCTCCTCCTTTAGCTTGGAGAGGACACTGGCGTGCTCCTCCTTCAGCTTGTTGAGGACGCCGGCGTGCTCCTTCTGCTGGGCCAGGAACTTGTCCTCGGCCGTCTTGAGCGCAGCGGCCTGCTCGCTGCTCATGGACGAGAGGCGCTCCTCGCCTTCCTTCTTCAGCTTGGCGAGGGCTGCCTCGAGCTCGGTCGCCTTCTTCTCCGCCTCGGTGTGCTGTTTCGTCACGGCCTCGTGCTGCTTGAACACGTCGGCGTGCTTTTTCTCTGCGGCGGCGGCGCGGTCCTCAAGGGCCTTGAGAGCAGCGGCGTGCTCCGCCTTTGTCTTGCTGAGGGAGTCCTCGTGACCCTTCTTCAGAGCAGCCGAGGCGTCCTCGTGGCCCTTGCTCGCGTCTGCATGCTTCTTCTCAAGCGCAGCAAGGGCGGCCTTGTGCATCTCCTCGGCCTTGGCCAGGCGCTCGTCGCGATCCTTGCGGAGCGCAGTGAGGGCGTCCTCGTGGCTCTTCTGCGTCGTCGACGCCGCGTCGCCGAGCTCCTTCTTCAGCACCGCAATCGCTTTGTCGTGGTCGCCCTTGTGCAACGCAAGCGCAGCCTCATGCTCCTTCCGCAGGGCGGCGAGGGCGGCCTCGTGCTCCTCTGCAGCCTTCGAGGTCGCGTCCTTGTGCGACAGGACCGCGGCGTCGGCGCGCTTGCTGTGCTCGGTCGCCTTTGCGTTCGCCTTGTCGCGCTCCTCACGCAGGGCAGCAAGGGCCTGCTCGTGCTCCTTGGCCTCCTTCTCGGCCTGAGAGGCCGCTGATTTGGTAGCAGCGCGCGCGGCATCGAGTTCTCCGCGCAGGCCCTTGAGCGCCGCCTCGTGCTCCTTGGTCTTGGCGGTCGCGGCCTGCGCCTCACTGCGCAGCGACTCGATGAGCGCCGCTTGGTCGGACGATGCAGACGATGCAGAGTCGAGCTTCTCCCGGAGAGCCTTCAGGTTCTTCTCGTGCTCGGTGGCGGAGGCGCGCGCGCTGTCCCGGTCGGAGAGAGCGTTCTTGTGCTCGACCTCGAGCTTTTCAAGCGCCGTTTTGCTCTCGGCCAGAGCCTTGTTCTGCGCCGTCACAGCTTCGAGCTCCTTGCTGAGTTTCGTGGAGTCCGCCTGATGTCAGCTGGAACACATGGCCACAGCTTACCTTGGCAGCCTTGAGCTCGTCGTTGAGACTGGACACTTTGGCGGCTTCGGCCTGGAATCAGCTCGAGGAAGTCGCATCGATAGCTCACCTTGGCGACCTTGAGCTCATCGTTGAGACCAGAGATCTTACCAGCCTCGGCCTGTTGTCAGCTTGACTCCGGCCCGCAAAAAGCTCACCGTAGCGGTCTTCAGCTGCTTCTCAAGCTCAGCCTTTGTCTTCTCCAGTTCAGTCTTGGCCTTCTCCGTCTCGGCTTTAGACTTTTCGAGCGCAGCGAGCTTCTCAGCCTGAGCCTGGGGGTTAGCGAAGTCGCGCGGATAACCCACCTTTGCGTCCTTGAGCTGCGCCTCGAGCTGAGTCTTGGCAGTCGCGAGAGCCTTTGCCTCCTCGCCCTGCTTGCTCGCTTCGGCCTGCGGGTTAGCAGAGCTGTAGAAGGAAACCCACCTTGACACTCTTCAGCTCCGCCTCGAGCTCCGTCTTGGCCTTGCTGAGGTCTTCAAACTCCTTCTGCCGACCAGAGGCATCCTTCTCCGCTGACGTCGAGGCGGCCTGAGCCTTCTCGAGCTGCGCCTTTAGGTCTGCCTGCGTCTTCTCCGCTGCGGCGAGAGCGGACTTGGCCTCGGAAAGCTCGGTCGTGGACTTCTTGGACGCAGCGGAGGACTCGGCCTTGAGCTCATCAAGCTGCTTCCGGGCAGCGGCGAGGTCCTTCTCCGCCTTGCTGCTGCTCTCGGCACTCGACTGGATGTCAGTTTAGCGCACGGATGAGGAAACTCACGCTCTTCAGCGTCTCGATCTCCTTCTTGGCAGCCGCGAGCTCCTTCTCTGCCTTGGAAGTGGACTCGGCACTCGACTGGGCGTCAGTTCGACAACAGTTATGCAAACTCACGCTCCTCAGCTTCTCGAGCTCCGCCTCCTTCGTAGCAGCAGCAGTCTTAGCCTCCTCGAGCTGCTTCTCGATCGCGACGAGCTGCTTGCCCGCCTTGCTCGCGTCATTGGCTGACGTCTGGGGTCAGCTCTGAAGCTTCGGCTGGCAGCTTCGAGGAGGGAAAGGAAGGGGGTGACTAACCGTCTTGAGCTTGGCGACTTCCTCCTCCAGGCTCTTCTGCGACTTTTGCGCAGCCTCGAGCAGATCTTTCGTCTTGCCGAGCTCGATCGCCGTCTTCTCCCCGTCTGCCGAGGCCTAAAATCAGCTCAGCGCGGGACAAGATGAGCTTACAGCCTTGAGTTCCTTTATCTCGTCTTGCAGGCCGGATTCCCGCGCCTTGTGCGCGGCGAGCTCGGTTTCCAGGGCGGTCAGTTTCGTCTTCTCGCTTGAGGCAGCGTCGGAGGCGGCCTGGGGTCAGCAATGGCACCTGCGTAGTGGAGCCTACAGTCTTGAGCTTCTCGAGCTCCGACTTCAGAGTCGTCTCGGAGCTCTTCGCGGCGGCGAGGTCCTTCTCGAGCGCAGCGAGTTTGGTCTTCTCGCTCGACACGGCGTCAGCGGAGGTCTGGGGTCAGCTATGCCTTGCGACGTTGTAGCTCACAGTCTTGAGCTTCTCGAGCTCGCTCTTCAGACTCGTCTCCGCCTCCTTGGCGCTCTTGAGCTGTTTCTCGACCTCGGCGAGTCTCGTACCCTCCTTGACCGCGTCCTTGGTAGCGCTCTCGCTCTCCTGTCTCGTCAGCTACCACCAGATCGACCAAAGCTTACACTCTTGAGCCGCTCAATCTCGGCGTTCTGGGCCGATATCCGCTCCTTCAACTCCTTCAGCTCCTTCTCCAACTTCGCCGTGTCCGCACTACCCGCGCCATTCTCGAAGACGACGGCTTTCACTTCCTCCTTGACTTCGACGGGCGGTATTGGCTCGGGCTCCGTTGACTCGGCGGGCTCGGCAGGCGGTGTCGGCGTCTCGGCAGGTGTCTCGGCAGGCGTGGCATCTACGCTCGTTCTTCGCGAGTCGGCAACAGACTCGTCGGGGGTGGACGCTGCCGCTGCGGCTTTCTGTTTTCGTCGCGCTGCGAGCTGGGCGTTAGCTACGATGAATCGACTGGTAGCTGATGTGAGGTGATCTGGGTCGGCTCTCGCACCCTTCCCTCTCCGCACTGCCGCGCCTGCATGCAGGAGCAAGCTCTCCAGACCTCCGCCTCTTGCCTCTCAGCAAAGCTACATCAATCCCGAGGCCACGCCCTCGCATCGTCGATGCCGTGACTCGGCTTCGGGTCATCGATCGCGAGAGCTCATTGAGCTCATTCCGACCTCCACCGCGACACCTCCACATCACCCCGTCATGTCACCGTTCGGCCGGTCACTCACAAGCTTCTTGGCCCTCTCGGCCTTGGCCTTCCTCTCAGCCTCTGCGTCCGCCATGGCCGAAGTCGTGATCGCGGACTCGAGGGTGATGCTGGTGCTGTTGTTGTTGTGACCGACGATAGCAGCGATGCCAGGTGCAGGCCGACGCGCGCGAAACCGGAGCGTAGCCCCGTACTCGAACGGCGGACATGACGCGCGCGGGAGCATCTGGGTCACGTGCCAGATTAGCAGATAGAATAGGAGCGGCGGTATGGTCGAGGTGCTTTTCGGACCGCCGGACGGCGACGGAGCTACGTAGAAGGACAAAGTGCTGGGAGGATCGGGAGGAGGGGAGGGGTGTGTAGAACGAGTAGCGACATGCATAGACATGAGGTCTGCAGAGGTCGAGCGCAGTCACGTAGCGTCTGCGTTCTGTGTCAATGGGCATCGAGCGCTGCACGGTCCACATGGTTCTCACCGGTCGACTGGTCTCCTACATTAAGTGGTGCATAGTGCATGGTGCATGGTGCATGGTGCATGGTGCATGGTGCATGGGTATCTGCTAATCTACAAACAAGATTCTACGTGCTCTAAGCTACAGTCTGGCTCCCAATCCTCGGTCATCCCCTCTGCTCAGAGACGGCGTCCCCGTCCAACTGGTCGCCAGTCAATAGCCTTTCCGCCCGCGCGCTGAGCGGCGCGTAACGGCCTAACGAGGCCGCCGAGCTCCTTTGCCCGCGCGGCGTCGGGGTCGTTGGCGGGGTTGTAGAAGTAGTGCGGCAGAAGGGGGTGGCCGGACGAGTCCTTGCCGTTACGCGAGACCTTGCCGAACATGGAGTTGGACTCGAGCTCGGCGCCGGCCCAGAGCGCCCAGGTCGACTCATCGCCATGGTCGCGCATCGAGGGCTGGGACTCGAGGAGAGAACGGACCAGGTCGGGGAGAGAGAGCTTTGAGGATCCAGAGAAGACGACGGTAGACGCGAGGAGCGCGGGGAGGTCGAGACCGGCGGGAAGCGGGGGAACCTCGGCGGCCGGCGTGGCCGCGCGAGACTTGGAGACCTTTGGCGTGGCGGGTTTCGGCGTGGCGGCCTTTGTAGGCTTGGGGGTCGAAGCGCGCGAGGCAGGCTTCTCGAGCATCTCCTGCTTGACCTCGACGAGCGCTGGCGGGGGAGAAAGTGGACGGGAGACAGGCGACGGAGGCGAGAGCGGCTCGTCCTCGGGCTCCGAGAGCTCCTCGTCGTCCAGATCCATGCCCATGACGGGAGGAGAAGAAGGCGGGAGAGAAAGCGGCGAGTCACGGCTGCGCACCTCTTCCGGTTCCGGCTCTGGCGTGAACAAACGCTCGTTCGTCTTGAGCGCAACAGCGGCTCCGTAGAAGTCGAGCGTCAGGTCGGCGCCGACATCGTATTCCGCAACAGATCCGCGGGCGAGGCGGGTGACGCCGGAAGCGGTGCGCACGCGCATGCCGTTCTGGCCCAGAACGACGATACGCACGCGCTCTCCGGCAAGCTCGACGAGGGCGTGTTGCCTGGACGCATGGCGGGCGGAACGGTCGAGGATGACATGGCGGGCAATGCGGCCAGGGCACTCGACGTACTGCTTCAGCGTAGCGGGGAGCGGAAGCGTGGCGGGGCGGTGGGCGCGTTCCCTGTGTCGTCCGAACAGGAGGTGCGCGTCCTCTGTGAGCATGACGGCGTGGCTCGGCTGGATGGTGCGGTGGTTGTGGTGGGCAGGTGGCGAGGACATGCGGCGAGGAGAGGATGACGCAGCGACGGTGGAGGTGCTGGGCGTCATGAGCCGGTGGCGCGGAAGTACCCGATAGTGGTGCTCGTCCGAGGCGTCCGAAGGTGGCTCCGGCGCGTCGCTCGACGGCTGCGGCGTCATGAGCTGGCGGTGTCGGACATCGACCACCTCCTTCTGCTGCTTGGCGACCTTGATCTTCTTGTGGCGCGGCTCCGAGGTGAGCACGACTGAGCGGCTGGCGGGGCGCTTTTCGATGCGTGCGCCGGCGGCAAGCGCGGGGCGCGCGAAGAAGGACAGGCTGGCCATTGTCGAGGGAGTTTGGCTGAGCTGTGTGTTCGCTGTCGACGGCGGTGAGTGAGTGAGTGAGAGGGATGAGAGTGTTCACAAAGGCAAAATCATCGCTGTGTGTAGGATAACTCTGTGGACGACGCGTCGGAGACTCGGGCAGTTTGGGCCAACATTACCGCACCGACGACGCGCTCATCCCACCGCGAGTGATCTTTGATCGCACCCAGGAAGCTCGGCCAATCACAACGCTCACTGGGCGGAAAGTCACGTTCGCAAGATCACGATCATAAGTGGGGTGCTTGGATAGACAGTGCCACGTGCGGCCTGGTCGGTATCTGGGAGGAGCACATAAACTTTCTCGCGTGGCTGAACAGACATCGTGTGCCTGACGTCCTCCCCTTAGCGTTTGTTTACGCTTAGGGGCAGCCTCCACTCCTCGAATCTCGATCAGAGTCAAGTGACCGTCGATCACTCGCAAGACCCGTCTCAGATGTTCTCTCTTTCTCATCTTAGCCCCTCATGACAAGCAGCAGCTGTGTCTGGCTAGACGCACTTAACCACCCCTACCTCATCGACCTCATCGTGCAATGCTCCGCGCCCGATGTGCTGCTCTCCTTCCGCGCGACATCGAGATGGTGGCGCCGCAGAGTCGACGCCTTGCTCGTGAGGCACCTGGTTCTCGACGGCCAGGTCGTGAGCACATCCCACGGCCATGCCTGTGCCGCAAGATTACACTTTGGCATCCCCCTCATGCCTCTCATGATCGACGAGGCGAGCTATGGCCGGTACGCACCCCCGACTTCCCGCTGGAGGCAGCGCGCAAGAAGGTCGGCTGACAGCAGCCAATCCGCCGGAGTCGAAATCCCGGACCCGGTTCCCTTCCCCATTATGGACGTGAGCCGGACACTCGATCTCACCCGGACAAGCGTTCTCGACGTTCGCGGCGCTGTGCGCAAGGGCGTGCTTGAGGCGATTAGCAAGATGGTTGGAAGACTGGACACGATACGGGTGTACGATTACCCGACGTCGAACAGCTATCCGGTCAGCAACACGTGCTCCGTGACGTGGTGGTTTGGCGTGCACGAGGACCACCCAATATCCGCACGGCGATGCGTGCTCTTCGGCTCATTGGTGCCGTACCATGGATTGAGGACGAATCCGTTGCACTTCTGTCCCGCCGACGCCGAGGAGCTCATCGTCCGGCTCGAGTACAACCCCCATCGACCACTGGCACGACTGAACGCGCTCTTCCCTCGAACTCCAGACACTTTGCGGCGTGCAGTGTTCCTCTTCGTTCCAACCAATCGCGAGCCCGTCCTCTCGTCTCACGACCAGTTCGGAACCTCATTGTCTCCGGGCGGAGTGGCAGCCAGCCTTACTCAGACCGTGATTCGTCTTGGCGTGCCCGTCCTGTTCGTTGGCGCTGAGGCTTTGGCCGGTTTGCCGGGAATTGCTGACGTTCCCGTTGAGTTTGTGACGAGCGAGCGATTCAGGATTGTCGTCGGCGAAGAGACATGGGCTCTATTCACGAACGAGGCAGGACCGGCTCCCCTCATGAGGATTGGCAAAGGGGAAGGACATGGGTTCCAGCACATCAACATGAACCAGGACAGTTATGCGCAGACGGATCGAACTGCGTGGCGGAATCTGGCCTTAGTCTGAGGTACTGCTCTGAGGTACTGCCGCGGAATAAAGGTGACAGGCGCTGTGACCTGTGGTGAGTTAGCTTCGTGGGGTGTGAACTGATATCAGTGACGGGGAAACACAATGTTGACTATGATAGAGATCAATTGTCCTCTGTCAGTGGCCTTGCGGCCGAAAGTGGTCACCTGTCCGCCCTCGACGGGCCATCTCTTCCGATGCCGCGCAGAGCGGTGCCTCTTCGCACTCTCCAGCTGTGTGTCGTTCCCAGCAGGACAATCCCTCGCCGTAGGGGCGCACCGAGCAGGGTTCACCTGCTTCTTTCGAGGTGTTGTGGTATCGAAACGCTGGAAATGAGAGCGAACTCCAATGAGACACTGCTGAGCGCTGGAAGCGTGACTAACGGCAGTGAGTTGTCCTAATGCTACCTGAGAACTGACTTCAGCTCCTTGAGATGCTTAACGGCGTAAGATCGGAGCACCGATGGGGCGGTTGGACAGCTGTTGTCCAGCCCCACGCGCGAGCAGAATCCTCCTCCCCCACGCAATGCAGCTTCGCACTCTTGCACATGTGTGGGCTGCTTTGTCAGTTCACACGGCCTGCCGCACATCGGCCCACCGCCCTCCCCGTCGACACAGACAGCCCAACGGCGCATTATAAGCATGTGGCAAGGCCTTTTCTTCCTCTTTCACAACACCCACCACTTCTCATCCTGCTTCATCGACCATGGGTGTTCTGGTTTCGCTCCTGGCGAAGTGGGACGACTTTCCCGACTACAACAACGACTCTGACAGCCCTGACGATGAGGATGAGGACGAGCCCGTCCGCAGGGCGGCGTTTGCTGTCTTTCTGCGCGAGCTCTGGCGGCAGACGGGATACTTCATGCGCCTGATCTTCGAGCTGTACTACCAGTCCTTGCTCCCTTCTTTCCCTCCTTCCTACTCCACGATCATGAGGTCGGCGCGCTCTCTTTACCGTTACTTGCGTAGGCAGCGTAAGAGGGAGTACAAGGTCAACATCGCCAAGAGGAAGAAGGCGCGCCGCCGCCGAATGAAGGCGCCTTACTTCACCGGGGGCTGGTATCCGATTCCTCGCGTTCCCGAGAAGGTCTGGGAGCGCTCTAGGCGCGGGAGCAGGGCCTACTACACAGACAAGAACGAGCCCAATGACGAGTGGGAGGACGACGCCAAGGGCGGCCAGGAGAACATCGTGCGTGATGACCCCCCGCCCTACAGTGCGATCGACGCAAACAAGAGCGTGTCCGGCAGCGAGACCGAACGCGCGGAGGGCGGTCGTACTTCCTCCCGCCGTCCCTTCGTCCGTGAGCTTCCGCCTCACATGACCATTGTTCGCCGCCGCGGCAATGCTATGTCCTCTGGCGTCGCCTACCCTCGTCCCCAGCACTACCGCGACATCCTTCGCTTCTCGCCTGGTGCCGGGAACGATCGCCGCAACTACTTCGACCGTCGCGCCGATGACGACAGTGGCGGCCAGCGCTCCACTCAGACCAACCGTGGCCACGGCCACCAGAACCGCGCGGCGAACGTTGGATATGGCCACGGACTCGGTGGACACGGCGACAACGACATCACCAACGGAGGCAGCATGTACGGGGACTTCTATGACACTCCCGATGTGACTTTGATCCGTGGTCTCCTCGGCCTTGGCAGTGCTCGTATCAACGGCCCGGGTGCCAGCGTCAACGACTGCAACAACGTTGATGGCCGCCCCACTCCCAACGACCGCGTCACTGCCCGCGGTGACGACATGTTTTGCAACGGCTCCGTTGCGGACACCGACACCGCCGAGGCTCTGGGTGGTCCTCTGCTCGAGGCAGCCATCCAGGAGCTCAAGGATGAAGGTCCCCACACCGGCGGCGATGACCCCGCCGTTTGCCCCTCTCCGTCCGACACGGACCTGTTCCAGTGGTCCAAGTCGCCCACTGAGACCCCCAAGACTGACCCGCGCCCCATCAAGAAGCCCATCAAGTCTGGCCGAGACTTTGGCCCCGCGCAGCGTGTCTCCGGCGGCAGGGCGAGGCACCTCAAGCCCAAGATCGATGAGAAGCGCGTCAAGGCCTTGGGCGACTGGTACGACCAGTGGATGGAGGGTCGCGCGGCGCGCAAGAAGCAGCTCGTGGACGACGCGGACTGCGGCAAGGTGGACAAGAAGCCCAACGGCGACCTGAACAAGGAGACCGACGTTATCCCGGCCCTGCCCACGGAGGTCATGCAGGTCGTCGTCCGCTTCGCGGACTACGCGAGCGTGCTCGCCCTGCGGGCCTCGAACTCGGCCCTGCGCGACCTGATCGACAAGGAGCTCCGCGGCACCGATCTCCTCGTCACGCGCTCGTACTCGGACAATCCGTACGTTGCGCGCCTCCTCGTCCCCGGCCACCCGGAGTGGGGCGCGACGCCCTTCCTGTCCCCCTACACCTCGCCCGCGCAGCAGCGTTCCGCCTTGAGCCGCGTGAAGCGCGTCGAGATCAAGAAACTCCCTCCCTCCGGCGAACTCAACACGCTGCTGGGATACCTCCCCCCCACCGCTCTGGTCAAGGTGCACCACGCCGAGCTGAGGCTGGGATGCGGCGGCCCCGCGTGGGTGCCGTTCCACTGTCTCCCGACCGTGTCTCTGATCTCGGTGCTGTACGACCCGCACTGCGCGTGCACCGACGGCGCGCACTTCCGCGCGGGCGTGTCGTGGCTGCACACGTCCGTGCTCGCGATCACGCTGAGCAGGTGGGCGTTCGACGCGCGCACCTGCCGCATGGTGAGCGACCTGGCGCAGTCGAGCCACGACGTGCTCGAGATCAGGCTCGACATGGAGAAGGAGATGGCGGAGCAGAACGAGTTCCGCAAGGGCGTCAAGACGCATGAGGGGTGGGGCAGGGAGAAGCACATCAAGGTCCTCATGGGCGTCGGCATGTGGTGGGCCGTCGCGGAGGTGCGGGCTTGGGTAGCGAGCGTCCTCAAGGTCAAGGTCGAGAGGGTACACGCTGAGAATGAGGATGCGGGGAGGAGGAGCTGGAGCACGCCTGGCGTTGGCGTTGGCGCGATGTAGCCGCGCGAGCGGTGCGGGCGGTGATGCCTTGCGCTCCACGTACGCGGCGGCCCGTCCTGATGAGTGACCCTCTCGATTAAGTTGCGCAAACGACCATTATACCCCTATACCCATTCACCCTCATACCCACTGTGACAAGACCCTCCTCGCTCAAGATCGACTTCTACCGTCTAGCTCCCCTCCCATCAACAGGCTCCCCTGTTCAGCTCCCCTTCCACCATTAAGTTTCCTTCCCACCATCAAGCCCCCCTCCCTGTATCAAGCTCCCCTCCCACCATCAAACTCTCCTCACACGACCACTCACCCTTGTGCAAACTCGTTTAGTCGCAGGCGACAACCCCTCCTCCCCTCTCCACCAACTGTACTTCTAACCATGTATACTCTGTGCCATACCAGCGTCTCGCCTTGTCTCATCACTGACATTTTAACTCTGAGTCTGCTCTGTCTCATTGACCCGGTGAGGCAGTCACAGAGCCAACATGTGTAACAGACAACGAAAAGGCGCGTTTCGGAGTCAGAATCAGCGCCAGCCGTTGGAACTCAGTCTCCGGCCGTTTCACTCCGGATCAGCGTTTCGAAGCCTCGAGTTTGTTCGTGTGTTGAGATCAGAGTCAGGGTTCACCACCAAACCTTTATCCAAGCTTTGGCATCTGTGGACCAGAGTTTGAGTGAACCCCTGATCCACAGCCCCAACTTTGCCCCCAGGTTCAGAAGACTGTCTCGGAGCTTCTCTCGGGCTGGGAATGAGGACATATCCGAGAGATCGGTTCGTGATGACGGAGGCAAGAGGATGCAGGATGTTTCGGCGATTCATCGAGGAACATGAGAAATTCAGGGCACCGGGGGGTGGGTCAGTCCGCCTCAGATCGCCAACGGTTGCATTATGCAGCACTGTAGCGCATCTCGCTTCGAACCCCCTCAGTAATACAGATTTGAGCGAGGTCTACATGACCGGGGTTTCTGGGCTAGGGCTGATTGAGCAGACGACGGTAAAAGCTGCGCATGTGCAGGGCTCTCGTAGACTAATGGCGCGGCTGCTTTCTGCTCATGGGACGGCATTTGAGTGGGATCTGGTCCTGTCTTTGCCCGGCGTCTCTTTTTGTCCCCGACTTCACGCCAAGGACCTATTGTTCATCCCTTGCAGCGCAGGCATATGTATGGGATAACACATGCCAGCAAATCTGAGGATCTTTGTCAAGCACTGCTGTTCACCTCTGCATTGGCGACTGCGTTGTTATGGGAAACACCACGTCGTTGAGCACAGCGACCGCTCATACGGAAAGACTTCTCATCTGACACTCAACACTCGTCTCCGCAGCTGTGCTACGCAGAGTGGAGGGCCTGGACAAGCTGGACAGTTTCCATTGCCACCACAGCTGACGCTAGTGCCGGCCGTGCCGGGGGGCGTCGGTTCGCCCTTGCACTGCCGCGTGGCAAGCGCCGCAACGCCGTTGAGCCCATATAATTGCGACTCGCAGCGATCTACTTCCTCTTCCTCAACATGCCCCTTCCACAGACCGCTGTCCTACCCTACAGTCTCCCTCCGATTCTCCTCTAATCCTCCCGCCGGTCTTGTCCTGTGCATAAATTCTCCAAGCCCGCCACCCTTCGACCATCACACTCCTTCACGACCTCTCTTGGACACAATGCTTGCTACCTTGTCGCCCTTCCCTGTCGGACCGACCCTGCCTTCCCCGACGTCGGAGCATATGCCCATGTCCTCTGTCTTGCTCCCGAACTACGCTTCAGTCTTAAGCTACGCCTATCTTGCACCCCCCAGCGCACGACTGTCTACCCCGCCATCCCCGCTCATCGACGGCCAGTACTTCCCGCACATCGTCGAGACGGTCGTCGAGCTCGCACCGTAGGAGGTGCTAAGCACGCTGCGCGCCGTGTGCCGCCGTTTCCGCACTGTCGCCGACCGAAGACTCGCAAAGCATGTCCTCCTCGTTGGAGCCCCGGGAGTTCACCCATGCGAGGACGAGAGCGCGTGCGTGTTTGCCCTTGCTCAGCCGATGCCCGGTGTAGGAGCACGCCGCGGTCCCCTCCTTGGCCGTATCGATACGCTGCAGTCTGGCCACCTGTCCCGTGCTCTTGACGGCGGGACTATCGACCTTGGTGGCTTCAACGCCTGTCCCGAACTCAGGCATGACGCCGGCACGCTCCGCCTCCGATCCAATGGGCCGTTCGACTGTACCTCGCTCGCTCTCTGCGGCACTTCAGCCGCCCGCGTCGTGCAATTCATCGTCGTGACGCCCAACAACGACCCATTCGTTGCCATCCCCCTCCTGCCGAGAGACGTGGGCAAGCTCGTCTTCCACATCAGCTTCGACAGCAGCGCATACCTCACCAACGCTCCCCGCTCCGTCCCATTCGAGAGCTACCGCCGCCGCCGCGTCATCTTCGTGCTCTCGGACCGAGCCATCGGCGAGGGCGTACCGACTGCCCCGCCCCAGCTCCTCTCCCCGACCTGTTCCCTGCTCACTTCCCTCGCCTCCGGCGTGCTCTGGTACGCCATCGCCGGCGCGCGGGTCACCGTCGTCGGGCTCGACGCCGTCAACCCCGGCTGGCTCGGAACGACCGTCATGCGCCCCGACGGCCGCGTGTCTGTCAAGGCGATCCGGAACTGGCTCAAGCGCGTTGATCTCGACGAGCCCTCGAGCCCGGAACAGAGGGCGCAGGCGTGGGCCAATGTCGACTTTGTCACTCACGCAGAGTACCGCGCCGCCCTGGGCGATGAGGAGTACGCCCTGGAGACAGTCGAGTAGCGAGCCGCGAGCGAAGCGAGCTAGCAGCCGCCTCGTGGATGCACAAAGTGAGCGATTGAGCGACACGTGATCGAGGCGCGTCAAGCCGAGTAGAAGCCAGTGTCAGTAACGTTTAGTCAGTCCAGTCCATGTTGTACCCCCCTAGTCGCTCCTTACACAAAGATGTTGTACATGCCATGCAAATGGGTCTAAGATTAGAAGCTATCGTCAGCGGGCTCGTCCTCGTCGAGGGCGCCGTCGGCTTCTGGTTCGTCTTCATCGAGCGCGCCGTCTCCGTCAGACTCGTCCTCGGACTCGTCAGACGGAGCGGCACCCTCCTCCTTCTCATCCTCGTAGTCTGAGGTGTTGTGAAGACGCTCCTCCTTCTCGTCCTCGTTCTCGTCTTCGTCGAGGGCACCGTCTTCTGGTGGCTCCTCTTCCTCCTCCTCCTCCTCCTCCTCCTCCCCGCCTCGAGATCTTCTTCGAGATCGCCCTCCTCCGCCTCACCGCCAGCCTCCTCAGCCGGGTCGTCGGCCACGGCTTCCTCGCCGTCAGCGTCCTCACCGTCAGCCTCCAGAATGCCAGCGACGGAACCCTCCCCATCGCCCTCCTCGCCCTCCTCGTCCTCCTCATCCGTCGTGCCGATGATCTCATCGAGGATCGGCCCCCTCTCCTCTTCGGGGAGGACGACCTCGCCCTCCTCGTCATCAAACTCGTCAGCCGGCGGCTTGAGTCTTCGCCTCTTCTTCGTCCGCTCCGTGTCTTTGAGCCGTTTCAGCTGCGCCCGCCGCCTCTCCCGCCTCCTCAGCAGCGTATCCCTCACGCTGGCGTAGCGCGCAAAGTCATCCTCGGCGCGTTCAGAGGCGCGGTCCAACTTATCCTGAGCGCGTTTCTGCCTCTTCCGCTCCCGCCTGGCTTCCTCGTCCGGCTCGGGGGCCAGGGATGCCGACCGACTGGAGCGGGAGCGGGAGCGCGATCGAGATCGAGGCGTGGAGCGCCGAGACTGTGATTGCGAAAACGGCGTCGGCGTCGCGAACGGGTCGGGTTTGGCTGCATTCCGTAGGCCGTGGGCGTACAGTCTGTCCCAGGCGCGGTCGGCCGACTTATGGTATCGGCGCAGCGCCGCTTCGATCGCCTCGTCCTCCTCGTCGGTCCCTTCGTCCAGATAGTTGGGCTCGGGGTGCGCGATTGGGAAGGACGGGAGCTCGTCCTGCGGAAAGCCAGAGACTCGAGACGTGCGAGAGGGCCCAGATGTCGTCGTGTCTGGTGACAGGAGGGAGAACTCCGGGACAGGCTGAGGCGTGTTGTCCACTTCCCATCTGGGGTGGGTCGGTCGCGTCGGCGTCTCGGGTGACAGAGGCAGGGACGGCAGAAGCCTCTCCGGCGACTCGGGCGAGAGCGGCGTGTGTGATGACACCGGGCTCGAATCGTACGGCAAGGGCGGAGGGAAGTCGCCCCATGTTGGAAGCTGTGCCTCTGCCCTTGAGATTGGGGAGAGGGAGCCTGAGAGTCGCCGTTTTGGTCTAGTAGAGCCATCCTCGGGACTCTCAGCTGTGCTGGGGAGGTCGGAGACAGCACTTGTCGGACTGGAGAAAGCGCTGTCGCTGTCCGAGTCGACCTCCAGCTGGTCGCGCAGACGGAGTGCTGCCAGCACATGCGACGCCGTCACTCCAGGCTCTTCGCTCTGGACTTGACGCGACTGCGCCTCTGCGATCACGATAGCCTGATAAATAAGCGGCTTCAGATACGCGAGCATCTCGGCGTAGAGATGCTGCATGACAGGCAGGTTAATTGACGGCAATAATACTCCTTGCTCGTCAGATTCCTTCGCCTGGAATGCTGAGGACTGGTGGGCTGGCGGGTGGCGGCCAGTGTCCGAGTTCGAGTCAAGCTCGTCAGGATCGTCCACCTCGAGCACCTCGCCGTCCTGCCTCTCCTCATCGGAGACACCGTTGGGCAGTTGTTCTCTCTCGCCCTGACGTTCACCCGTGTACAGGGCCAGCGTGTTGTAATCAAACACGTCGAGACCCCGATCCTTGACAGCCTTCACGGCGCCGCAGTCCTTCATACTCTTGGCTGCAGCATCCATGGGCAGGCCGGGAACATCGGCGGGCACCTTGCGCTTAGCTCCCGGACGCTTGTCGCGCGCCTTGAGTTCCTGTTCACGTTCGAAGACAGTGTCGGCACCACCGCCCTCCGCTATCCGCTCATCCGTCCATCCCTCGCTGCGAAGTATTTTGCGACGATAGGCGGTACGGTTGCGCTTCCGGTTCAGGAGATGGCGTAGTTGTTTCTTCTGGTGTGCCGTGCGCGTGAGTTTCGGGATCGATTGGAGCGCCTGGATAGCGAGGTCGTCCTCGCCTAGTTCGATCACCGGGATAGGGGCTGATTGAACTTCCTCCTCTGCATCGAGAGCCTGTTGCAATGAGCTCAGTTGTCCGCGTAAGTCGTCCGTCCAGCTCCAATAGCCGGCATTGATGCGCTGCTTTGGCTGGGAAAGTGACAGTAGCTCGGCAGCAAAGCCTTCCTCGCGCTCCACGAAGGCAGAAGAGACTTCCACAACCTCCCGACTATCTGTGTCGTCGGTCGGCCGGCGTCTCGTTCTCCGCTGCCCCCGCTCCAGCTGCTCGATATATAAGCGAACGGCGTGCTCGCTCTTCCCGCAGTCTTCCGCAATAAGATCTGGTCGCCAGCGGGAATGTCGCGCAATCGCAGCGAAGAACGCAGCCTTCTCGCTCCCACTCCACGCCTCCGAGCCGACGAAGGACCGCTTGAAGTCGTCTCCTGCGTAGCTCTCGGAGTGTAGACCGGCGAAGTGTTGTTGCGAGTTGAGCGTGTGTGCGGTCAGCTCGCGCTGGTACCACGCCAAGCTGGCCGGAATGTGCTCCGCCTCAATAACTTCCGGCTCGTCCTCGTCTTCCTTGGCTCCGTCGTAGTGGTCGTTGCGGAGGGAAGACTCGGCGTCGGAGCCGACGTCCTCCCTATTCTCAATAATAGGAGGAAGGACATCGGCTGCCGGTTCGTCTTGTTCGTCCTGTTCATCCTCGTCTAGTACTTCTGGAGGCTCGAACTCGGACCCGGACCCCGAGTCAGGCTCGGAGTCCGGTGACTCGCGCCCGCGGTCCTCGTAGTCTAACGTCAGCACCATTTGAGGCTAGACTCACATTCTGGATCTGGGGGCGATGGCTCCCGCCGCATCGGAGAGGGTATACTCTCCATGCATGCGGCGGCCTAGGGACCACTGTACCGAGCGTCGTGATACTACTAGGTCGATGCTCGGTCGTAGGTCGCCGGTGCGGGATGCGGTGCGCGGTGCCGGGGGGGGTCGCTTTGTGTGTTGTTGTTGTTGTTTTTGAGCCGCAAGCCCTGCATCTTCGCTTTCCCTCAATCTTCAATTCCTCTGTGGGTGGAGGGGTGCGATCGACCAATCACGTGACTCACCTGACAACCGTGCCTGTGACGCTCAGTCTTCCTCACCTCAGCACTGAGGACAGCGAAGCAACAACAATTTCATTCCGATATCTACAACCCGAATAGCAAGCTTCAAGCACGATGTCCGGATTCACGCTCGACGGAAAGCCCGTCGACGACAAACTTCCTGAGGGATGGGGACAGCGCCAGTCTCGCGTCGGCCGTGTTGGTGACTGGTCCAGGGATCAGGTTAGTTAGCTGAGTCTGTCGCCGTCGTAGCTTACACCAGTCTCCGCGCGACACGCCCGAGCGCGACCGTGAAGGTGCCGAGCTCTACACTGGAGGCGAGAGGAGGTAAGCTGCTTCTGTGGCATCCGAGCTGACATTCAGTGGACTGGCCGTGCAGAATCCAAACGAGCCGCGTGAGCGACCGGGCCTCGTCGAGAATATTCTGAGCCAAGCGGCGCGGTGAGTCTTCCCTCTTTCCCCATAGCTGTTTGGAGGTTCCCACAGAGCTAACAGTGCAGCTATGGGCCGCCATCTACAGCCGCCTCGCCCGTTCCCTGGGGCTCCGGGAACACCTTAGGCTCCGACGAGACTCCATCGCAGGCGGTGCCAGATGAGACGGGGGGCGAGGAGGTGCAGCGCCGCACGCTGACCTTTTGGCGCAACGGCTTCTCGATTGAGAATGGACCCCTGCACCCCTACGATGTTCCAGAGAGCAAGGCTCTGCTCGAGGCGATCCAGGCTGGCCGCGCGCCGACGTCCCTCTTCGGCGTCCGGTTCGGTCAGCCGCTCGAGGTTGTCGTGAACGAGCGCAGGGGCGAGGACTTTGCTCCGCCCAAGCGCGTGACGACCCCGTTCGAGGGAGGTGGTCACCGCCTGGGAAATGTCGTTCCGGACATTGCGGGGACGCCCGCGGGCGACCACAACATCGCCGTCAAGCAGGAGCAGGACCGGGAGAAGAAGATCGCGGACGCCAAGCCCGAGGTTGACGAGAGCAAGCCGACAACGAACGTTCAGCTCCGCCTCGCCGACGGAAGCAGGAAGGTGGTCAAGATCAACCTGGACTCCACTGTCCAGCAGTTGCGTCAGGTCGCCGAGCCGTAAGTATCAATTGCTTGAGACGGGTTTGGTTCCGGCTAAACATCTGGGAGACTTCTTCTGTGGAAGCTCCCGATCTCAAGAGCTTGCAATTATCGAGATTGCCTCGTGCCATAGCATGCTACCGCCTCTGGGGGCAAACTAAGCTACGAAAATGGTCCAGCAGCTGATCCACAGTGCCGCGAACGGCCGTCCCTTCGTCCTCCAAACTACGTTCCCTCCGCGCGAGCTCAAGGACGACGAGACCATCGAGGGCGCCAAGCTCGCCAACTCGGTGGTCGTGCAGCGTCTCACCTGATTCACTTCAACCAAGCACAAACGCAGCGACAAGGTGCTCGATACGAGGCAAAGAGCGCAAGATTGACGTTTGCGTTTGCGTCCGCACAGTTGCACCCGGGAAGAAGTGTGAGTTTCCATCGTTTCCGGGAGAAGATAGAGCGTGTGCGGCATACGCTTCCTTTGTGTCCCGGAGAAGATGTCGGTAGAGCCGGTGTCCGTGAGAGGAAGAGCAGAGCTGGAGCTGGGACAGAGTGCGCACCAGCGCATTCGCTCGTAGCATTGCAAAGGGGAAGGTTGCGTGCGCCTGAGTGCTGCTGGGAGTGCTTGTGAAAGGTGCAGAGTTGGTCCGGGGCCGGAAATCGGGAAGCGCTCCGAGCCTGCCTATCTTCTTCCGGCATCTGGTATCCACTCTGTCTCTGTCTGGCAACGAGGGTCGCTTGTTCAGATTGCGTCAGCACCTTCTCTCCTAGCTATACTCCACTCGGCCCACAACGTTGTCCCGCTTTGGCGAGTGGTGTGCCTCACTGGACCGAGTCACCGGGTCACCAGATCGCTGGGTCACTGGTCAATCACTTAGCCTGGAGAGACTTGATATGCAGGGACGGTCGCTCAGTGGTCTGGTAAGCACGCGAACACGGCTTCTCAGAGTTAGGTTCGCTGCCGTTGTCTGTTGTGTGGGTCCACCCCGCCTATGGGCCACTGTATGGCCCTTCGAACATCTAGAGATACCGCAACCCCGGATACCGGAGCTGACCCCGCCAGAGAAGCGCGTACTCTTACGTCCCCGTCAACCACAACTTCCCCCCACCGTCGCCCTGCATCCTGCCTCCACCGATCTACAGACATCTACACTCCCACACTCCCATCTCACCCACTCCACCAAAGCCTCCCGGCTCGCTTGCGATCTCGGCGCAGCTCCACACCCAGCATTCACCGTAACTTCCCATCGATCGAACGAATGGTAACTCAGCGCACAAGCTCATGCTCTCGCTATTTCTCGTGGGAGACCGGCGTCTGCTCCTTCCCCCCTCCACTTCCTCCCTCCACTTCCTCCCTCCACTTCCACTTCCTCCGCATCGCAAGCCCACAAGAACTATGCACATGATCTACCTAGCTCCAACATGCATCCATGGCTTCGGTATGCTCCCGTAGCCCCAACTATGCCATCTCTGCTCTCAACTGTGCTTTCTCTGACTGTACGACCGCGCGACTGTGATACGGGTGTGCTTCCGTGCTTGGGCATGCTTGGGCGTGCTCTGGCGCAATGACGCCATGCGACGGTGAGAGGCCGTTGCTGCCGATCTCCAGGTACGGAGGAAGCCCTCCCCGTGCCGCGTGCCCGTTGCGCCGTCGCCGTGGTTCAGAGGCACCGCGGCCGGCGGGTATTAGGCTCCGGCGCCGCGTCCAAGCATAGAACAGAAAGCCTCGGCTCATGCATACATAGCTACCAAGCACCAGAGGCAGGCAGGAGGAGACTACTGACTCGCAGGCGGGCAGGCGGGCGGGTTTCGGTCTCAACTGCGTTCTGGGTCGCATGGCGGTGCACTGACAGTCACCAGCAACTCTGCAGCACCGCCACCAGAGCACGTTGGGACGCTACCAGATGCACCGCTGTGCCAAGCGCAAGCAAGCTCGCCCTGGTCGCGCCGAAGGTCGAAGCATACTCCCTGCCGCCCACCGGCCTTTTTGGCTCGCCCGAGTTTGTTGGCGGCCAGCGCTGCACTCGCCGCACCGGCCACTCTACAGGTACGCGCCGCTCTTGCCGTGGCCGAAGCGGTCGCCGAGGTTGCGTGCTTCCTTGATCTTCTTCTCGCGCTGCTCCTCGCTCAGCATGCCGCCGACGCCGAGCATGGAGTCTCGGTCCCAGATGACCTCGGGCTCATCCGTCTTGGACTTCTTCGCCTTGTGCTGCTCCATGAGCGAGGGCCCGCGCGAGGTCTGTACGTCAGCCAGCTGCCAAGGTATGGGGTTGCAAGTGTCAGAGTATGCCAAAGCAAGCCAAAGTCAGCCGCGGATGCACCATGCGAACTGGCGCGTAGTTGGGCACCGGTTGTCCGGCGCGAGCTAGAGTTACGGTCCCGGAATCTTGGGCACCCGCGCGGTATTTCCAACATGAGTTTGTGCTTGTGTGCATGTGCGTGACAGATGAAGGCACAGTGCCACAAGAGGCCAGACGACACTCACCGCATGCTGTTGGACACCCTGCCGAATCGCGTCATCGCGTTCACGAGCTCGCTTCCGATCGAGGTCCTCCGGCCTGGACCGAGACGATCCTCCTTCGCGGAGGCGCTTCTCGCGCTCGGCCGGCGTCTCGGTCCACTCGCGCTGGCCGTCGAGGTCGGTGTCCGCTTTGGCGCTCTTCTGGAATGTCGTTGGGCGCTTCCGCGGATCGAGGCTGGCGAGACTCCCGCCCGTTGGCGGCGCAAGCATCCACTCGTCGCGCTGTGTCACCTTCTTCTCCTCGGGTTTCGGAGCGGCCGCCATGCGTGCCTCACGCTCTCTGAACAGCTCAGCCGCACTCTTTTCCGGCGCAGCGGACGCATCGACAAAGTCCGACAACTTAGGTCCCACCTCGTCGTCTGAACTATCGTCGTTCTCGGGAAGAACTGGCGTTCTCGCTGGCCTGACGGTGGGGTTTACGCTTTCGTCCCCTTGTCCTGGACGCGGTGGACCGATGGGACCAACCGGTCCTCTGGCTGGGCCGGGAGCGCGTGACGAACCAACAGGCTCAGGCCTAGAAGGTCCAACCGTCCTGGTGGGCGATCGAGACCCGGCTGCTCTAGGCAGCTGTGGCCCGGCTTGACGAGGTGGTGCTTGTGGTCCAACAGCACGTGATGGGCCGATCTGATCCGATCGGGAAGGTGATCTTCCAGATTTGCGAGATGGCGAGCGCTCACTGCGACTCCGGCTGCTTCCAGAAGGTAGTGAAGGCCCTACTTCTGCCTGCATCTTCTGTTGTCGCATTTTGGCGAGGTGGGGAGGAAGACTCGGACCGAAATCTTGATCTTGATCTTGTTCTACGGCATTTCCGGAGTCGTCATCAGTTGCAGGAGAGTCCACATGCCGTTGTAGATGCGGTGGGAGCTGGGGGCCGATCGGCATCGCTCGGTATCGGTAGGGGAGGGAAGACGCCGAGGTAGGAGGTTGCGTGCGGAGTACGAGTGGGACTGGGCCTTGGCGAGCGTGCGGGCTGCGCGTGGTATGGGAATGCCGAGCGGGGTAAGGGTTGAGCTGGGCCGGGTTGTGCGTTTTAGTTGGGATGTGGTAATCGGTGCGAATGGATGGACGTTGCGAGCGTTGAGAGCGTTGTCAAAACAAAGTTGAGTTGCGTCACTGTTGCTGGGTGGTGAAATTTGGTTCCGCACGACGATCTCACTCTGAAGCTGCTGCGCGGGCAAAGGCTGGGCGGGCTGGAAGGATCAAAGGAATGGTCGAGCAGAGGCACAACGCGAAGGCACCTCCGACCGCATTCTTCGCCTCGCTGATGCTGCAGCACTGCAGGGCCGTAGTCAGGCGGCCTTAGGTCACTCACCATCCTTTTAGCTTCGCCATGACATGAAGCCCAAACACAACGCCGAGCCTCCAAGCAAAAGCACGCCCAATAACGCAGCGGGCCAGGAGGATGAAGAGCCCTAACAGCCGGACGGTTAGGCGCCTGCGCACGGGCAGCGGCATCTTTTTCGAATGCATAGGCGACAACGAGGGCCCAGCACACCCGCAGACCGAGCGCAACAGCTTACAGCAGGTTTGCACGGGGCGGAGGACTCGAGCAACCCATGACTCTGGTATGGGACGTGATGCAATTCCTTCGGTGGCATAATGGAGAGCAGTATCTGGATCGCGGGGTAAGCTCATCAATCCCCATACGCTCCGCATTGGCCATGCCCAGTCCAGATCCATGGGACCATGAATGACGACGGAGCAGCTGATGAAGCGAGTCCGGTGCCAGATGTCTGGCAGGGAGGAAGGGAGTGCGTGTGCCTCGGGTACAAACGTCTGACGAGTGTCAGAGTGACGACCCACTGCACTATGGTCTGCGTCGTGCGCGAGGATGGTGTTTCACGTGAACTTTGCGTTTAAGCTTCTCCCGTTCTGAGCGCTGTCGACACGATGAAACGGCAGCGAAATCAGCCCATAAACGTTCTATGCTTGTTGAGCCGTATCAAAGGGCTGGAGGGGAACTTTCTCATTCCTTCCTGGTGCTGTGCGTACTCCCTTCTCCTCTGTTCCCCTTCCGCCGACCCTTTCGAGAGATTGCCTTCGTCGCGCGTTTATGCCCACCTGCATGAAGGGGTGTAAGGAACGTTGAGGAACACGGGCAGACCCAGCACTGTGTCGTTGGCGAGTCGGGGCTTTTGCACGACTTCCCAGCGTTTACCCGCCAGGTCCGGTTGGGCCTGGGGAATGGCGGAGCCTAAAGAGTCAAGCGTCTCGTGAAGATTCGCCTCAATGGTTTGTCCGAGTGGTGGGACTAGCATCAGCACGCAGGGATGCAGGGCATGCAATAGCCACCGGCATCAACTTTATCGCCCTGCCGTCACCGTATCGCCGTGCGGTCGCGGTCGCTGCCGTCATCGGCCGTCATCTAGTGGTCGCAGCTGCGAGCTGGGGTCGGTTTCACGCAAGACCTACGGCATAACCCCCTCGGTACCGGTCACGATTGCCCACATCGGCGCGATCTGGGCTGAGCCTACTGCCTTTCCGCGGTGTGTCCCAAGGTACGGGCGCCAAGTTCACACACCGCGGCTGCCCGTTCTCTGGTAACCAGGGTATTGGGTTTGGCTGGTTGCTCTGGTGGAATCCTGTAGCTCTGCCACCGCGGTCGGTCGTCGACGGTCGGGGGGATGACTGGATTACTCTGGATTCCAAACAAGAGATTAATTATATCGGATAACGAAACACTATAGTGCGCAATACACCAGGCCATGACTACTGATGAGAGCATTGGAGTACGGTGCATGCGTGCACACCACCTGCGTCCGTTTCATAACGTATTCGCACTACTTCGGTCCAGGAACCAGTAATCCGGGACGTCCCAGCTGAACTCAAGGCGACCAGCGACGCCGCGAGACCGCCAGGCCGCATCGCGCACCATGTTGCCCATTACGTTTCATACCGTCGTGAAGGCAACTCTGGAGCCGTCCTCTGTACTTCTCACCGCACATCGAGATACGCACGATACGCAACCGGTCTGGTCGCGCTCGTGCTTCGAAATCGTACCACACGGGTCTCAAACATCCTATTCTCGGCTGGTTAGGCCTCACGAAGCCACACACGCTAAGCTCTGAACTGCGGTGAGCATCCCCAGAACGATCTGAGCATCGTGCCGTCGTGGCCGCGGTCGCGGTGTTGCAGCCCGGCACGAGGCACTTCGCCTGCGGCGGCTACCGGTGTGGCAGGAGGTGGGAGTCTCGACCGCAACCGCGACGCCACTGATGCTGCGCTGCCAGCACCTCTGCCGTCATCTGTTGTCAGCTGGGCATCATGCCATCTCGGTGAGATATATAAGCCAGTCGTCTGGACAGCCTCTTTCGTCTTTTCAGCACACTTTCTCTCAACTTTGTTACTACTTGTACTACACTCTTTCCCTTTCACCTCGGACATTCGGTGAAGTACACCCAGTTGTTTTCTCTTCTCTCTTTCTCTCTTCGTGTCTAAGTGAAGACCAACAACATCATGCGTTACGAGCTCGCCGTTTCGCTCTTCATGGCCCTGGCGGCCCTCGGTGCGCCCGCTGCTCCCGTCCAGGAGCGCGACGACGCTGCTTCGCCCACCGCTTTCGCGGAGCTCGTCACCCCCGGCGACCACCACCAGAACCTCTGCGACGGCAAGGACAACTGCAAGACTGCCATCAACGACGACAAGGGCTGCCGCATCGTCTGGGGCCACGGCTCGTTCCCCACCGGCATCACCAAGCCCGAGCACAAGGACAAGGCCGACCTCTGCGGCAAGCTCCCCAACTGCCGCACCGTCTCGGTCGGCGAGGGCTCGTGGAAGATCGAGTGGGGTGGCGCCTGGAAGCCCACTCCCACCGGCCCCATCACTCGCCCTACCACTCCGCCCAACCTCTGTGACGGCAAGCAGAACTGCAAGACCGTCCAGAACGACGAGCACGGCTGGAAGATCACCTGGGGCTACTCCAACTCCTGGGGCTGGTCCGGCAAGTGGGGCCACGGTCCCATCCAGACTGGCGGCGTCGGCGGTGGCTCCAACAGCGGAG